AGTTTTGAAAACAAGCACATTAGTAGAGAAAAACAGCAGGGAGAGAAAAGTAACATGTTAACAATCTCTTGCATATTTCCTAAAGCATTTAACATCTCTAACCTTAAAGTCCAGTATGATGAGGCTTTCAAGATGCAGACGTTATACTTCCCACTGGAAAATGATGTAGTCTTTCCAGTAGGCAACTCAGGTTCTGACCTTGGTTGCAAGACATCAGGCTTTGGTCTTCCTATTAGTCCTGGACTACTCTTGGACCTTACTACTCCTTAAAACAATAAGTTGGTGCAAAGAGAACAAAGTAAAGTCCATACTCAGTGAGAATAAAGAATCTGTTTTTCCAGAAGGTTAGTTTGCTGAGAAATGATGCCTATTTGAAACTGTGCAGGGGTATTAGACTATGTTCTCTGATTAACTATGAGAGCACAAATGAGACAGTCAAAGGTGACAACAGGCACAATTTGACATATTACTGGTTCTGTGGATTTTCTTGTTTGTGTTACAGCACAGGAGCAAAATACAATGCCTACAACATGGGGCAAAACTTTACATTTTATACAAAGCTGTACTTTACAGTATTTTAAGAGTAGTCAGAGGATTAGGGTAAGCAAGCCAAAGTGCTGGTCAACCTATGCATGCGAATGCTGTCACGGTCTGATGCGTGACTTCCTTGCAGACAGCTGCAGGAGGGTTGAAGAGCTGAAGAAAGGGACACTTCAGAGCCTCTGCTCGGAGGCTCCCTCGCAAAGATCACTTGTCAGAGCTATGTGAAAATTTCACTCCATGTAGATCTAAATAATTAATTACCTTGGAACGCAGTCTTTTAATTCCCATCTATCAGGCTTTTGTTGGCCTGCAGACAAACTCCAGTGCCTGTAGTAGCGCTCATAGCTCTGCTCAACAGCAAAATACAACCAACAAGACCTCAATCTTTTTGGCTGGTATTGTTCAAAACTGCCAGATCTTGTGTATATCTAGTTTAATTTTAAGTCACAGAAGATTAGCCATACTTGGTGGTGCCAGGATGGGATTTTTTTCTCTGTCCAAGGAAGGTTTATTATACATTGGGTTTTTTTAGGAGATCCTACTTAAAATGAATTGAATGAATCAGCACCACACAAATAGTCTTGCTTTCAAGGTATATTTCCAAAGATTTTTTAATACCTGATGAGGATGTGATGCCTGTTTAGCTTATTATGACTGAAACATGTTGACACAATAAGCTTTTCAAAACTACATTTAATATTATATTTTTTCTGGCTCTCCTTTTGCATAATTCAATACCTAGACATTAGTCATGAATGCAACATAATGTTTCCTTCCTCACTAGATAGTTATATCATAAATATCCACTAATTCATCCTAAACAGGCAAATAATAATGAACTAATAGGGGAGTTTTCCATTTTCTTCTGACCCTTCCTCAAAAATCATCCTTCCAGAACAGTTTTGGCTTGCTCACTGTTTAATGTATCAGCTGTATTTTTTTAATAGAAATTGATAGATATTCAGTGTAAATAGGTACACCTTGCCCCAGGGTGCCATGTCTAATAAGAGATGTTCATCTGTCACTATTTGAGATCTTATTGGACACCTGGATTAGGTTAAATTTGTGTCCTTTAATCTTCGTATCTAACTTTCTAGTACATATTTGTCAAAATTCAGGCTTTAAACTGTTGTTCTTAAGAATTTATTTTTGGATTCTTTCTCAAGCATTAAATATATTAGCAAAATGGCTAAATACATAAAAAATCATCTTACTGTCTCTGCGGGTATATTATTCTTCTGTTTTAGTCTCTTCTTTGGAAACAACTGTAGAAGCCATCTAAAAGTCAACATTACCATGCTGTCAACACAGATGTTTCCAGGTCTAGGTATAATTTATAAGATATTACTATGGAAATCTCAGCTACTACTTTGTGGTAACGATTAGCAATGATAGTACTTTAATAGCAACCATATATGTTTATCGATCCGTTGTCTCAACCTTCCCTCATTCTGGGGGTGTGTAAAGAGCAGATGTCTTTTGGATATCACGTTCTTTCTCAGAATACAATTTTAATCAAAGTTCAGTATGAGCACACTCTTAACAGTCATAAGCCTACAGTGCTTTTCCTTGTATTGCTGTTATTAAATCATCATTCATGCTTTGCACTTCCTCCGCCACATGACATTTTCTGTAAAATTTAACTCTGGAAGCTTTTACATTTTTATTTTTGCTTCCTGACGAATTTGTGTAATTTGCCATGCTCTGCTCATTGGAGGTGTTACGGGTCAAACGGGTGCGCTAGAGGGTGCTCTGACACTAGCCCGCCCAAACACCCGCATCACCCTGGCCCTGGAGTGGGTGCAGCTGCTCTGGAAAGACGTACCTCCTATTTAACGCACTGGCAAGATCATGGTACTTTTAAATAGGATATGGCAGGTAGATTTTAAACATTAGTTTTAATTTAAGTGAAAATGAGGTTTGTGCTGGACCAAAGCTCTACAGGAATTTGGGTCACATTTGCCAAATAGATTTTTGGAAAAAAAAAAAAAAAAGCGGGGGAACTTTTACAAACATTTTATTGCAAAATATCTCCTCTCCTTCATCCTTCATCTCTTTTTTTTTTTTTTTGCACTAATTACCTAATTTTAGAAAGGTTTAATTGAAAGGAAACCTGAAAATTAAATATTTGAGTCAACCTAAAATGAGCTTTTTAGGTTTCAGTCGTGTGTAGAAGTCCTGCAAACAAACAGAAAAACCCAAACAAACAGAAAAACCTAAGAAAGTTCCCACTTTTTTTTTTTTTTAAGTAAATGAACTAAACTAAGAAATCTACTGTTTCCACAACATCCCCTATAAAGGCCCTCTGTTTTTAGAGATGCTATTTGCCAGCTGCTCCTTGGGGCATACTGCTCCTTCCCAGCTGCCCTAGCACAGCAGCTAGCAGAAATGCTGTTTGCAAGTGCACCGTTTTCAAAATGTATAATGTCTGCATTTCAAATACAAAAGCCAAAATAATTTGCAGTTTCTCCCTAAGCAAGCCCTGTGTTTTCAGACGGGTTGTGTAACTCAGCTCAGTCTCACTAATTTTAGGATTTAAGCGGTTTTTCCTGTGTCCGAAGGCAGTAGGTTAAAGGTTGCATTTTTAGAAAAAAAGTTAGGCCCGTTTCAGCGTTTGTGGATGAAATAGCTTTTATGTCCATTGAGATGTCTTTATAGGATATTTAAAGCATTGTGAATAAATTTAAATTGTGCTGAAGTATGAATCTTTCTGGACTTTAAAATAAGATTATGATTATTTTTAGGATACATTATTTAAAAAATACCATGGAATATTAATTATGAGTATAAACATAGATTTCTGTCCTAATTATTCTTAGCCAGTAACAGTTGCATTTCAAAATAGAGCCAGTTAGTTCAAGTCTAGGTTCATTTTGAACAGCTCTTTTCTTAAGCACTGAAATGTTCTTCTGCTCTTTTCTGGACCGGGACCTTATTTATTCCTGTTCTCCATCCGTTGTGGACAAGTGACTGATATTTAAATGCTTTGCTTGTTTGCTTGCTTGTTTCCAGCTGCAACAGGTTTTTAAGCAGAGATGAATATTCTGCCCAGAATGTTTTAATCTGCTGGGACAGTGCTTTATATATTATAAAGCAGAAGAACAAAACCAGATCTTTTTATGTGATTTCTAAATTAAACATAGTTTCTAAGAACAAAATTAGACTGAAAGGTAAATTTTTAATTTGGAATTTGATAGTTCTAAGTGACGGGAGGGCTGGAAAGGCACAGGAAACAAAAGTTGGCTAATTTCAATGGAGTATTATTTGTATTTAACAGTGAAGGCTAATAAAGCCTTTTTTCCAGCATCTTAGATTGGTGTATTTTCTTTTATGCCATTATTGGTGTTTGATGAACAGCTGGGCCAGTAGTTTCCATTGGCGGTCCTTTAGCTCTATGAAGTAGCACAGAAAGTATTGAACATTTGCAAATTAATACCTAATGTTTTTTTCTGCTAATCTGATGTAGCTATCCTTTTTGAGCGTAGATGTAATATCAGAGCAGAAGTAATTACTGTGTTAAAACTAGTACCATGGTAGAATATTTTGCTAATTAAACTTGTTGCATTTAAATTGCTTCCTCTGGATCACTATATAGAAGAGAACTGTTTTGAACAATAAATGAAACCACTTGCTTTCTCAGAGGCCTCGAACTGCAGATGGTCAGATTGTTTGTGAAGCACCTAGGCTCTGAATTAGGCTTTTGTATGAAAGAGAGAAAGGTAATTTGAATGTTTGAACTCTCTGTTCCTCCCACACATACACAGGAAGCTTGTCTCAAAATGAACAATTCTCTAAATAAAGACTAATAAGAAGCTAAATTAATTAGAAGGTGTGATTTGAAAAGACATTGATGAGAAGAGTCTGTCATTTCAGACAAATGGAATGGAGCTAAATGAATTAGGCCACATTAATATCTCATTGTTCTGCGAGCAGCTTTCTTTTATTGCATTCATTAGAGGGTGCTGCTCGAAATGAGCCTTTGCTAGCCGTTACAGATTCAGCTCTCATTTACCAATGCCTAACCCGGAGCTCCTGCATTAAATATATTTCAGCAAATCCTCACAGTTTCTGCAAATTAATATTTATATTTCTGGGTGCTTTGCTTTTCATCTGCAACACAGTCGGCTCTGAACATTAATTTTTTTC